TGTTGAGCCGACCCAGCACTCGTGCCGTTCTTCAAGTCAAGGTTTAGCTTTCAGTAAGCAATATCTATCTATAGTAATGCTATCTCAATATGCTCCGCAGCGCGTTCCATAGAAGGAACCGCATCACTATGCTTTCGGGGAAAAAGAACTCCACAGGTACCTCATTACCCACTCAGCACATTGCGCTTTAATGTGCGTTGCTGTGCGAGGTGGTCGGGAAAATGCATGCTAGGGTATGCAGCAGCAATCTTAAAGCCTGCAATGTTGATATTATATATTGGTCGTAAGTAACATAATTAAATTGACTTAACCAGCTGCGTTGACTTTCTTTGGTCGTCCTGGTGACTTATTCCTACCTTGGCATATAGTCTCAGTATTTGATCAACTTGCTCTCATTGTACAGCTGCGCAATGTTGCACCTTCTGGCAACGTGACAGCCGCTCCAGCAGCTGCTTTTCGGCGTCTTGCGTGCGTTTGTGCTCCTGCTCCAAGGCCTACAATCACAAGGCCAGTACAGGACACACTACAGACAAACCGCAACTGGATGTGAAACAAAGCTCTGCAAATGATAGTCAAACAAACAATACACTGCGCACATCTACAGTAGTGAAGACTACATATAATATATATATATATAAATAGCTAGTTCTAGTGGTACCTCCAGCTCAGGGCAACTTAAGATAGAAGGGCTGTTGTTGTCCTGTATTGCCCTGGTCGGAGGCACTTACAGACTCCAATAATCTTCTATGTATTTCTTGGTGCACAAACTTGCTTTCTGCCTCCAGCTTCTGGGTCAACTGAAGCTTTTCTTGCTCTGCTCTGGCCTCGGTGGCAGAACCTGTATAACTCCTTTCTTTTGTATTCGGGAAACCACATTTGCTCGCCCCACCACTGCACAAAGAGCCATTGCTCGAGTCCAAATTCGCTGAGGTCTTTGCAATGGCTTCGTCGTGTTTTTTGTTCTCCAGTGCTGCCTCGCATCGTAAACAGCACCAGTATATAGATGGCAACTAGGCATTCTCCCGTGACAAACATGCACCAGCGGCTTTCCAGTGTGGAAGTGAGCTAACAAAGGGTTCTTCAATGGTGCCTTGTGCGCTTGTCCTTCTTGAGGGTTCTTTAACTGCGCTTCCAGCTCTCGCACGCGCTGCTGGAGCTCCTCCAGGTTTCGCAGCACATTTTTGTGGAATGAAGCGCTGGAACTGATTTCGATGCCAGGTTTTAAATGCATTTAAATGCTACACTCATTTTTGCAGGAGTTGGTCATGACAAATGTAATTCAAATATCTTTCTTCAGATCTTCACATCAATCCAATCATGCCTCTACTTACAGACCAGCTTCCCCACCTGGCCGCGGCTTTGTGCCACTTGTGTCGCAGCAGAGGAGGCAGTCAGCGCTCCACTTTCCTGCACCATGGTGGCGCTGGCAAGGCCCAGCTCCTGAGACTAGCAAATTCGGATGACAGGTGAATGAAAACAATGTATAATATATATATACATCAAACACTTGTGAGCAAAGGGCAGTGACGTTCATTTCCCAAGGTGAACCTAGTTGCAAATGGGTTAAGACTGCTGGGGAGGGGGTAGTCGGGCAGTACCCCAAAAAGGAATTCACTTTCGGCCCTACCTGCTCCAGTGATCGCTTGCGAGATTCGCATTCATCGAGCTTAGCTTGCAGCTTCTTCAGAGACCTCATTTCAGCAAATTTCATTTCAGTTCTTTCACATCTCCAGATTATGGCAGCCCCTCCTACAAGCAAGCACCAAAATATCCGTATCCGTATCCACCCAAGCTGTCACAAGACAACAGTGGTGAAACAGAATCAATCTGCACCAAACGGCCTTTCTGACTTCCCAGCATCCTTTGCCTGCGGCCCCATCTGCTCATTGCTTTCAGTGAGCTGCTGGGCTTGCGCCTAGAAAGAAACTGAAGCAACCCACACTGAAGCGTTCACTCCAAATTATGGCAAGTGTGATAGCAGCATATGAGGTCACCGTTGTACTTCTTTCCAGAAAAAGGTCTTCTGACAACATTCCATCCCTGCCAGAGCTGCTCTTGAGTTGTCTCTATTTTGTGTCTTGATCACATGAGTGGCGGACAAAACTTCTCCGTTTCCCCAATGCCGAAAGTATTGCGGGTTGGCCCCTATCGGTTTCCAGCGTTTTGGAATGAAAGTGAAGGGGTACGTTCAATCAAGGAATGGTATCGGGGTTGCCCCTGTTGGTCTTGCAAGGTGTTGATCAGTTTTTCAAACACTCAAGGCAGCTCATGACTAGAGTACATGTATGGAAGCTTTGTTGGATGATGACATCATCTTCACTGCTTCGAGCATCCTTTTGCCCTTAACCCGCTCCTCCAAGGCTTTGCACCGTTTCGAAAGCACATCCAGTGTGATTTCTTGAAGCTCTTTGCTCAATTCCTCCGAAGCCGAAGGGGAAGGTAACTTTCCATCTTTTGCACGTTGGAGCAATTCCTCGTTGCCTTCCGCCTCTGCTGTGCGCCTCCTTAGTGTGGCTTGAAGCTCCAAGACCTTGCTCTTCAAGGTCTCGATGCGAGCTGCGGCCTCCGGATCTACACCCTCCTCGCGTTCACTCCAATTCAAGATCTTCAAGCTACAACAGAAACTAGATTCTACAAGAAAACTTCTGGCGTTCAGCTCCATCACATCTCCTGGCACATCCTTCCCTCCACTTCCCACCCCTCCTTCTCACGCTTCTTGTCTTTTTTCTCCTTCTTCAGCGAAAACACCTCCATCGGCTTGGCCAAGGGCCCACCACTCACCAGCGCACCAGCTCCAAGACCCCGTGAGGCCTTCCCTGGACCCCTGGTGAGGGAAGAAGCTTCCTTGACCTTCATGATAAGAAATCGGCTCAGGACGTAACCGTTGAGATGAGCGCAGGCCATCAGCTTGTATTGAATCTTTCTCCGGTAGAATTCCCCTTCAGACATAATCGGCATTGATCCAACTCCATGCTGCGATACCAGATGCTGCAATCCCAAAAGCCAAGCATGAATTTGAAGGTCTCCAGCTACAGCAAGATCCAAGGTTCGGCCAGTAAAAAGCAGACTGAAACAGGCCCAGTCTGGGTCTTCCCGATGATCACAACGTTGAAACGTGGTGGTCATCGGTCCTGTCGGGCCGAATGAATGTGCAGCATGGCTGTCTCTCCTTTTGGCTCGAAAAGTTTTTAAAGCAGGAAGAAAAAATCAACAAACCAATCAAAACCGTTTGACGGAATCCAACCCAACGAGTTCAGAAATCCCTGCAATTCATGCATTGCCTCATGAACCAAGTTGCCGTAAACGATTCCCAGGCATTCTTTGAGATTCACATTCTGACTATCTGTATCAGTTTTGGCACGACCCCAGCGCAGCTCATCTTTCTGCACCCAAAAGAAGCGCCGGGAGCGCTTGGAATTGCCTACGCACTGCAAAATGTTCGTAACTTGGGACTTCTGTTTCTGCAAGAAGGGCAACTTGTGTAGTCTTCTTGCAGATTCAGATGAACACAGGACAATGTTCCAAGTTGATGCGTCTGAGACGCTGTAGTTGTACTTGTGCATTGTGGAGCCGCTATTGATCTGCTCCAGCAAGGCCCGCGTCTTAATTTCTGCTGCTTTCATCGAGGCCTGAGGTCACAACACGCATATGTTGATGTGCATATATATATATATGTTAATATATATATATATATGTGACAGAAGTGAAGTGGCTTCCTGACGCGCAGTCATGCCCCAAAGAGACTGTGCAAGGCCAATCAAGGCCAAGCAGCTCGAAGGGCATCATGCCAAGCTTCCGCCTCTGACTCTGATCCAGCAGAGAACAAGTACCTCGACTGCTTGGCCAACGTAACGCCAAACAAAGAAACTCAACAAGCTGAAAGGTCCAACTGATCTTCAAGTGGGAATTCTGATCCAAACAGCGGCATCTCATGGAAACCAAGGTACTCCTGTGCATGTGGCACGCGGCATCTAATCCTTGCAGGCATTTTGATGGACTTCTTGGCATGCAAGTTAGCAAGTTAGTCTATCACTATATCACTATGATCGATACAATGCAGGTCACACTAGTAGGAAGCCGACAGACAAATATGTTCCAGATTAAATCATGTGGCATGGCCCAGTGTCATTGTCACCCTGCATACCACGTGTACAGTTCCTTGCCTCGGTCAGACCTGATAAATCCGCCTTCAAACCGCAACGAACAAATTGTGCATTCAAACAAATACGTCCTGTGGTAGATTTTGCAAGGGTGCGGCACATAGACACACCGAACGAGGAAGTTTCTGTCACTTATGCAATGTCCTCGTACTCGTAAAAACACTTGTGTTGTCTTGGCTTGTCCTCACTTGGTCTTAGCCCTTCCACATGGAGCCGAGTTTCTGCAGCTTGCTGTTAGCAAGAAGCGCCACTTCAGTGCCCACTGCAAATATGTACAACACAGCAAGATCTGATTCTTTTGGGCCACTGCGAATTCGCAGGACACCAGCCCTGAGAACTATGTATTCTTTGCCTTAGGTGCAAAAGCTGCTGAACTCGAGAAGGAAGTACATCCCCCAATCAGTGCTGCAACGACTGGGGCTCAAACACTTGCTGTATACATTAAAGAGATAGCCACTGTGATCCAAAACGGATCCAGGTTTTTTGATGCCATTTGTGGCCATTGCAGGGCACAATTGGCAAAAAATGTGTAAAGTTAATTGTTCGCATTATATGTGTGCGTGCTTGAATCTCAGTGAAAACAAATGCCAATGATGCAATTTGGAAAGTTGAAGGAGATGGAAAGCAATCAATAAAACAGAAAAAATACAAAGAGTCCCTCATACTTGTTGTTGTGGCCATGACTCCATAGCTGTAGGTCCAAAAGCTTCTAATGTGGCGACACGAACTACATGTGACCAAGAGTTGTTCAAGACTCGTGCTTTAAAGTCTTTCTCGAAGCAAACACCTCTTCATCTTAAAAACACCGGTCCACTCTCAATCTGAAGCTGGGAGTGGTGCCAGGTGAGAATGGAAATCTCCAAAAGACACACACCTCTTGCGCATCAGGGGAGGGATAGCAAGATGGAGATTGGGAGGTGTGCAAAATGCAGTTCACTCTCCATGGCCTTTCAGAGTTGTGTATCAATATACATTTTATATATACATTATATATGTATATATTTGCTTTGCTGCAATGAGGGAGAGTGTGCTATTGTTCCATCAGCTTGAAGAGCAGGCCACAGTCCCAAACCAGTGGTTGGTGGCCTTGGTGGCTTTGTCGCCGAAATCGGCTGAGATTGAGAGATCTATAGCACTTGTGGCAACCATGTACAGGTTGTGGTGCAGACTTCGGAGCAACTACACCAAGGAGTGGCAAAACCAGCTTGAAGATGAATTCCCTTGGGAGCGGGCCATCCCTGGCACGGAATGTTTGCAGGTGGCACTGAAAAGAGCTTTGTCACGGAGCACAACCATGCAATGAAGAAGACAGTCATCTCTGTACTGCTGGACATGTCGAATTTCTATGGCCGCATCAATTTGCAGAAGCTTGCAGAGCGCTGGTTGATGTCCAACTATCCAGCTACCCACGCGGCCTTTGCCATGCAGATCTACTGTGGGACAAGAATCCTTGAAGCGGAAGGAGAAGCATGTAAACCCATGTGGACGGCAAATGGCATCTTGGCTGGAGATCCTCAAGCTCCGCTGGCTGCAAAGATCTACCTCCAGAAGGCTTTGAAGGCATTCTGCAAGAAATATCCGCAGCTGCACACGGATCTCTGGATCGACGACCTCAGTTTCGATGTCATAGACGGGACCCGGCCAACGCCTAAGAACACAAAACCTGCGTCGTGGCCCGCGCGATGCGACGACAAAACCGAGAAAACCGAGAAAACTGAGAAAACCAGAAAACCGAGAAAACCGAGAAAACCGAGAAAACCGTTTTCGCGTTTTCCCGTGTGGAAGCTTTTTCCAGTTTGCTTACGTCTTCTTGCTTGTCTTGCCTTTGAGCGTGAAAACCACAACCAAGAAAACCGGCAAAACGAGAAAACCAAGAAAACGGTTTTCGTCGTTCTCGCCGTTTTCCCGTTTTCGCCGTTTTCGCGTTTTCGCCGTTTTCGCCGTTTTCGCGTTTTCGCCGTTTTCGCCGTTTTCGCGTTTTCGCCGTTTTCGCGTTTTCGCCGTTTTCGCGTTTTCGCCGTTTTCGCCGCTTTCGTCGCTTTCGCCGTTTTCGCCCGTTTGCGCTTTTTTTCGTTTTCGCCATTTTCGTAGTTTTCGCCGTTTGCGTCGGCTTCGCGCAGTCGTTGTTTTCTTGGTCTTCGCCACTTTCGAGGGTTTTCACTTATGCTCCTTAGTTGTGCACTAAATCTCAACGGTTGAAGTTTAAGTTCAATTCACGAATCTTAGTCAGTGAATCAGAATGATCTTAATCTCCAATCCAAAAGGAATATCACCTCATCACAGGCACTACGCATGAACGACCAGATAACGTGACCAAGTCTATCCAGAGGGTACCCAGGGATGAAAGAAAAACAAGAATCAGACGACGTCCATTCCTCTCCATCAAACTGAAGAGCCGTGGTATGCCTCATGGCTCTCCTTGCGCGGAATCGACGAGCTCTTGCGACGCAAGGACAGATTGGAAACCAAGGGCTTGCGATGGACTCTAAGTTAGTTCGTGCGCGAAATGCAGGCGCGAGTGCGATTTGACCTGGTCCGGGACAACCCTCTGCGGAGATCGTGCGTGTCGAATGCGCGAAATGCAGGCGAGAGTGCGATTTGTCCCAGTCCGGGACAACCCTCTGCGGAGATCGTGCGCGTCGAGTGCGCGAAATGCAGGTGAGAGTGCGATTTGTGTTTGTCCGGCGCAACCCTCTGCAGGACTGTGGACTTTGTAGTACAACTTCAGTGCGTGGAGCAATCTGTGGAGCTGAGAACTGGCGACTTTCGAGTAGAACTTCAGTACGCGGAGTATCGCAGGAGCTGGAAGCTGAGAGCTGGAAGATGCGAACTGGCGACTTTGTATTTCCTTTTTTTTGTACGCGGAGCAATCTGTGGAGTCTTAAGCTGAGAACTGGCGACATTGTAGTACAACTTTAGTACGCGGAGTATCTGGGGAGCTGGAAAATGAGAACTGGCGACTTTGTAGTGCAACTTTAGTACGCGGAGTATCTGGGGAGCTAGAAGATGAGAACTGGCGACTTTGTAGTACAACTTTAGTACGCGGAGCAAGCTGTGACGCGGAGTATCTGGGGAGCTGGAAGCTGAGAACTGGCGACTTTGTAGTACAACTTTAGTACGCGGATGAGTCATCTCTCGCGGCTGAGTCATCTCTGGCGCCACCCGGCTCTCTTGAGAGGTTGACAAATTTTAGCTACTTTGCTTACTCATAAGTGGCTGCCACAAAAGAGTCATCGTGACGTTAGTATGTGTGTACTTCACACCTTCATGACAAACGATGTTCGCTTGGAATACACGAGTCGCTTGTCATGATCGTCACGTCGTTTACTCTCAGGTCGCCCTGCTCGTGGAAACTTCAGTGTGAAATGTACGTTCTTCAGTTCTATTTGAACCTCTTCAGCATTGTACTTGCACAGCTAAGGTTGACGTTGCGCAGCCGTTGCATCGACGCATCTACGTCATACACCCCCTCACCTCTCTACATATACACCGTCACACGCTCACATCCGCAGATCTACCTCTCCACCGCACCACACCCACACATCTGCACATCTATATCACATCTGTACATCCACACTGTCGCTCCTTCACATCTGTCCTGTCTTTCTTTCTTTCTACATATCTTTTCTCTCGTCTCTGTGCATTTACATCTTTGCACGCTCACATCCACAGATCTACCTCCACCTCCATACATCTACAGAATCTATATTGCACCTGCGCATCCACACTATCACTCCTTCACATCCACCCTCTCTTTCTCTCTTTCTATACATCTTTTCGACAGTGCTGGACAATTACATGTCTCGCTCTCGGGCCAACCGTCGTCTAGTTCTCAGTTTAACGTTTTCAACACTCTCCTTTTTGCGTGCTACTGAGGCTTATTATCAAAGGAACAAAGTCCTATTCTGCAACTCTCCATTCTTCTGAAACTGGTCTTTTGCAAATACTTGGCACTCTTCCCCAACTACTCGCCGTTTTCGCCGTTTTCGCCGTTTTCGCGTTTTCGCCGTTTTCGCGCCGATGCGGTGTTCTAGAAAACCGTGAGCTGTCAAATCCAAGCACTTTGTTTCCGCCGTTTTCCCGTTTTCGCGTTTTCGCGGTTTTCGCGTTTTCGCGTGGCCTGCCCCCGCATCACCGGGGGCCGAGACACACGTTTCGTATGCACAGGCCAACGCTGGCCATCCAACCATACCACTACATCAAAGAGCTTCTCGAGGAGGACAACTTGCAGCTGTCAACCAAGAAGACCGGCTTCATTGCCTCAAATGTTGAGGCCAAGAGGATGCTCCAAGCCCAACTTCCCCAAGGTGGGCCAGTTGTTCGCGATGTCATGAGGGACCTTGGAGTGGATTGCACAGCAGGGAGGCTTCGGAGAATCATGACCATGAAGAACCGGAGAAAGAAGGCTGGATGCAAGACAAGGAAGCTCCATTACTTTGAAGATACCACAAAGGGCAGTGAGATTGAAGCTTTACAAAGGGGGCGGCATCAGCTGGGGACACCAGGCAATGGGCCTGGCACCACAAACCAGGCTCCGCATCAACTCAACAATGGCTCGGCAGATGGGCTTGCAGCGCACCGGAAACATGGACATCATCTATGACATGCAGCCCAAACATAAAGACCCGGACTATGAAGCATTTGTGAGCCAGGTGAAAATATATAGGCAGATTTTTTGCAATTGGCCTGAACACCTTCATCGAGACCTGAAGAAAGCTTGGCAAGTCCACAGAGAGCGTTCCACCGGGCCAAGCACCAATGGCAAGTGGCCAGAGGTCCTGTAGCTGCACTCATTTGTTACCTTCATGGTGGACGCTTCCTGGTCACAAAAATGAAGACGACTTCCAGTTGAACATGCATCCCTCTTGGTACTTCATCAAGGAAGAGCTGTACCGGGCCCAGATCAGAGAAAGAATCACTCATTTGCAGAGGCGCGCAATGCTACATGACATACAACAGCCGCTGGATTGGGTGCCATGGAGGAGATTCGCCAAGCAGGCCAACAACAGGGTCCAAACAGCCCTGCAGGCATGGCGTCAAGGTGCATTGTTCACCAAGTCGTCAGAAGGCACTGAAGCGGGTCACCTGCACTGCCCACACTGCAACCTGCAACCAACCAGCCACGGCAACACACCTGATATGGCTATGCAAAGAGGCCAATGCACATTGCCCACCACTGGCAGCAGAAGACCAAACAGAACTCGAGCAGGGCATCAACCTTGAATTCTGGGCAGACTCCAGTTCTTCGAATCTCTACAGGAGGAGCAGCCGCGCAAGCCTGGGGATCCTCGACGGCTCTTGATGAGCTCACCATTCGAGCCAATGATGCTGTGACCATCGGCATTGCCACGACAAGCGCAGATCCTCGAGTACGCCACTATGTGGTCACTTTGGTACATCATACCATCTTTGCCGGAGAGATGTAGCGGATGGGGGCCATTGCCACAGTCCTGCACCGGGGAAGCAATCGCAAGAGCGAGCATGGTACTATGGGCTTCGAATAGTGGCACACTATGTGGACCTGAACACCCCGGTGAGGATCCACGCGCTTTCAGTGCGGGCCTGGCAAGCATGGGTGCATGGCAAGCACCAGGACACGTTCTTCGACCTCAGCCAACTGGTTTCATGGGACCAACGGCAAAGAGTGCGCGCATTGAGCGTGACCACAAAGCAGGTGAAAAGCATGCCTTCCACTGGGCTGTCCCTCAAAAGCCGCTACAAAGATGCCAACAAGGCTGCCATGGAAATGGCCATCTCCAAAAGGCCAACCGAACAGGAACAATAACAAGGCTGCGAGCACAAGACAGGAAGTACAACAGGGTTGCACCAATAGCGGCACAACGGATCAGGTTCTTGATCGACAGTCCAGGCCAC